AAATTAGTCAAAATAACTCGGATCGAGTGAAATGAACTCAGTTTCAGGATTGTATATGACGAATTAATTAGAATATTTTGTAAAATTTTGGAGCTCTCCTCTTTAATCTCTTATTTGTTTAAGGCAAGCTCAGAATTGCTTGATTTAGGCAATCATAAAGCTGACCAAACATTTTATTCATTGTATTTGTATCGTCCAATTTACGTGATATTTCAAACAGAATTAAAATTATTCGTATTATGCAGTTAAACCAAACTTTTGATAGTTGGGAAAAATACATATCATACAAAGATATAACTTTGTTCCAGTTTTTATTAATCTTTTATTGTAAAAAAAGATTGGTTGAATCATCGTGACAATAACAGGAAAAGGATTTCTTAATTAACAAATTTGGTTCATAAGAATCAGAAATTCTATTTTCTTTAGTGAAAACGCATTTGGTCGTGTTATACTTATATTAATTTAACAAATATTTTCCATGTATGCTGAATAAATTTAGGAATTTGAATTCCTACGTCAAATTGTTGATCTGACTCAATTTTTTATTCAATTTTATTCGATCACAGTTTGTGCAACAAAATTTACGTAACGTTAAAATTTAGTTCTTTTTATCCGATCTTTTTTCAATGTAAAATTAAAAGAGATTGTCATCTAAGCTTTTAAAATCATTTAATTTAATTATTTTCGAGACTGTTTCTGCTGAATATCTACACACAGAAAAATAGATTCTGCATTTAACTAAACGTTATTTGTTTAGTACAAGTACTTTATAAGTTTATATATTCATAAATCTATTATAAAAAAATTCATCATATAAATTTATTCAAAATACGTTCTGAATCCTATTAAGTATCGACATTTCAAACGTATTAAGTTAAAACAGAAATTCGGTTTGCTTGCGACACAGCGTCGAACCAACTTCTTCTTCGGTAAAGTTTTTTAATATTCCCGTAAAGAAATTCTTCTTTTGATGAGCTTTCTTAATAAGCTTTGTTAAAATTTGCGATGTGTATATTTTAAGACTATTATACCAGGAAAATGTTCTTTGTTGAGGACATTTCCTCTAAAGAAGCAAAGTAAATTGCGTAAATCGCTTTTCTCAGCAGCCGAATGACATTTTTCTACGCGTAGCATCGTTCTGTCGACAATATACGTGAAAAAAATGAAGGGAAGAAGGGTTATTTTCCAAACAGCTTTACCTGGAGAACGAGCGGCTGATGGAGACGGTGCCCTGCGCGCTTACTTCGAACTTACGAACCGGCTCGTCCGATCTCGCCGCGTTTCTGCGACGCGTGCACGCACCCGAGGTGGCCAAGTGGTTCGTTCACTGGCAGAACTGCGACATCAACGCCGTGAAGGTGCTGAGGAAGTTCTATCAACGGCCGTACTTCCTCTCCAGCACTGTCTCGCCGGCGCACTTCAACTGGGTGCTGATGTCCTCGGACTACAACAGCCCGAGCTACAAGAAGGTCGAGCTCGACTCCGGCCTGATCGCGCTCGCTCAGCTTCGCGGCGCGACTCAGCTGCGACTCACCCCCATAAACCCCTGCAACAGCTCGTGCCCGGAGCTGATCGCCGACTTGCATCAAGGCGAAATGCGTAAGTGTGCGGAATTAAGATAGCAAATCGAGCTCGAGTCAGAGAAGGCGCCTTTCCCTGAAAGTATTATGTGTCTTTAGTAAAATGCGATAAGTCGGAGTTTGGTAAGCGTTCTCGTGAACATTCACGGTGAATCTTCCTGTTAAATTATAAACTATAACTTATATAAGTATGTGTGACGGCTGACTTCGTCCGTTCGGGAAATCCGTCTTGCTATGATTTGTTAAGAAGTGCTCCACGCTTTGGACTAAAGCTACACAGTAGCAGGTGAGCAGGATTGGGCTAATGAATCGGATCTCCAATGAAAAACTCACTTGTTGTATTAATCATCCAATCCAATTGTCGTGGTCACTTCGAAAGGGAAGATTCAATATAATTCTCGACCTTAATCTAAAATTATTTTCGATGAAACTTCATTGTATTGTCGACTAATATAATATTGTCAATCGCTGGGTGTCGCGAGAGAAATTCAAGATCTTCCGAATCAATCGTAGTCTAATTGGTAGTGAACGCGTGCTAATATTCCGCTTCTGACAACTACTCGATCCGACGTGCATTAGTCGGGTGATCTTAATTTCGTGTATCTTGAAGGAAATTAAATCGAATCTCGAATGAAATATTTTCATACAAATTTTGGATCCACCTAAAAGTAAGACGATCGAATTCATCGGCAATTCTCGCAAGGTTTCCAAGTTACAATTATCTCAGAACTCTCTCTCTCTCTCTCTCTCTCTCTCTCTCTCTCTCTCTCTCTCTCTCTCATTAACCCTTTATTTGACAGACTCAAAAAATTCAAGGTAAAAGATTCTTGAGCTTTTAAATGAAATAAATAAAATAAATTCTCCTGAATGCAGTTACATTGTCTTTAAAATGTCATTTTGAAAACATACTCTTTTTCTCTCTTTCAATGATTCTTATCATCCAGTGACAAAAGTCGAGATTACTGAGACACCGACGAACAGAACAGATAACCAGATGCTGCTCCAGAGTGTGCTAAGTAAATACGTTCTGCAACAATCATTTTTGCATATAGCTCGATGAGAAATCAGTGTTACTTGAGAGCAACGTTGCCAAGTAAAGGGTTAACGCATTCTTCCGCGAATGCCGATCGCGACAATGTTCGACGTTTCTCTCCACGTTTCTTAATAATCATTCTTTCATAATGTCGCCAGTCGTTTTCACGAACGTGATGTGGACGCTCGAGTACGCGCCGATGCGTGGCCTGGACAACATCGCCATACTCACAGAAACCGTCTGGGAGGAAGACACGTAGACTATCTCTCGCCCACGGAGAGAAGATCATCATCATCGTATTGGTCGGCGATCGATTATGTCCTTTAGTCAGTTAATTGAACGCCGTCAGCTACCGACATTTATCAATCGATTGTAATACTCGCAACCATTATACGATACTCACACCAAATAAAGATTGAGCATTCTGGTTTCTGTCGATTAATTATTACCCATCGACCACTTTCGTTATTTCAGGCTTACGATCAGGGCGCGAAGAGTCGCGAGGTTCTACACTAAGCGTGTCAGCATTGAGGTGGTCTTGACGAAATCGTCCTGAGAAACGGCAAAACTTTTGAGATTTTGTTATCGTATTCATAAGTACGACTCTCATCAAGTGATATACGCCGAATTTGTTTATTTGATTTTATTTACTTCTATCATTTGATACAGCGCCCCAAAAAATGATCATTTATAAAACGAAATTAGCTCAAAATCAATTTCAACACTTATATTAAATATCTCATTTTAATAACGCTATAAAATATTTCAGAAACAACACCTTTCAGGAGAAAATGTTTCAGACAAAAGTTTTTTGGTTTCGAAATAAGATAGTGACCTTTCTATTTAATCATAAGATTCTATTTATTAACCTTGAGGATTTTAATAAAGTCTTGATAAAAAATCTCTTACGGTCAAATTAAAAGCATCTTACTTATCTTTATCGAAATAAAAAAACTTTGCCTGAAACGTTTCTTTCTTATGCGTTGTGAAATATTTGATAATGTTATTAAAATAAGGTACCTCGTATATATGCTGAAATCGATTTTGAACTAATTTTTTTGCACAATCGCATTTTGACAAAATTAAATGCGATTAACTTTTTCAAGGATGCTGTGCTTTTTAAATACGTTCAATTTTTTTCTCTTTTAATTAAATTTAAATTCAATTCAATTTTTTATCCTCTATTAAAATTTTGAATTTACTCTTTCAATTTTTCGATTGAAATTATATTTATTTTTACAATTTTATTTTTTAAAGAAATTAAATTTTCTAATAAGAAAAAATATAATTAAAATAAATATATTTGATTTTTACGCGCGATAGATATATATGTATCCAATCTTCTAAATTTCTAATTCAAATTAAATTAATTTGTTTCACATTTACTTCAATTCTTCTTTTTTAATTCAAATTTATTATCGCTGAAGGCATAATGAATATTATTATAAATCAATGTTTACCACAAAATTTCAAACAAGGAAAAGAAAAATCTTACGTAATATCCCAAAATTTGACTATGAATCGTAGGATCCCAAAATTTGACTGACAAATGTCATATTTGTCATCTTAAAATCAAATTAGTTTCTTCTGACTTTATTGAATTCGTCTCTGAAGAAGCTAAATATTCAGGCAACACACGCCTCCAAGGAACATCTTAAAGATCTCCTGAGAACATCTCCAGGACGTTCTTTGGAAGGTCTGTGTTGTCTGGATAGTGGAATGCACGTCGTGATGCGCTTTAGCATCATTCCTCTGGCTGGAAGATCGCTCGAAAGAATGATGCGAAAAATCGCCTGGAATTTATGAGATATCCTTTTCACCTTATCATACATTCGCATTGTCAACCGACTCGTCTTAACGCGCTTTGTATCGGATGACAGAGGCTCACCGCGATGCCTCGCAAACTTGCGCAGCTTCACTTATACTGGTATTTACAGTAGGTATATCGTGAATTTTCGAGTGAAAGGTCGAACAGCGGGTAAAACACGCGAGGAAGATCGGTACGACGTCGGCGAGAAATTCATAACGAGGTATACCAGAAGTAACAACAAACAAGATTCGTTTTTTATTAATTAATCGTTTATAATAACATTGTGTGTGTGTTTTGTGAATTCTTTTAGTTCTTTTTTTATGTATATATATGTATATATATATGTATATATATGTATATATGTATATATATGTATATATGTATATATATATACACATACATATATGTATATATCGTAGCTTTTCTTTCTGTTTCTTATTTCACTTGGCCTAACAAGGAATAAGATCCGTTATGCACCGATTCATAGAAAAAACAAAGCGCAAGATTACTGAATGACGAACGTAGCTGGCGTTTCTCTTCTCTTGGCATGCTTAAGAGACGATGCGATATCTGTGTGTTTTTTTTTCTCTTTTCGTTTATATTAAAACGTCGTACGTGTATATAGTCGATTTGCGCTACCTCTTGCTCTTCATACGTCCTTAATGTCGACACGAGAGAAAGAATGACAATAATTGGCGACTAACTAACACCGTCCGGATAGGTTCGTAATCCCCCTGTACCACCCCTCAGTCAGTCAGTCAGTCACTTCGTTTTTTAGTGCTCTCCATCGGTCAGTGGAGCCTTCCTACGAAACAAAAGTCCGCGGTCTCAGGACAGAGCGTCGCCGGCCACGTTGGAGCGCGTGTCCAAAAGTAAAAGCCGCACTCGAGAGCCTCGAAGTTTTCCCCCAGGCGGATGTCCGAGGGTCGAGAGTGGGTTCTTGAAGTGAATCGAGTCTGAGTTTCCAGTCAAATTTTCAATTCAGTTCTTTAATTCAAAGTGAATTCTCCTTTTTTAAATTCAATTCTTCACTTTTAATTCAGATTCATTGTCGACAAAAAGATACGAGATGAACATTGCTGCGAATAAATATTTACCACAAAATTCCATGAGATACGTCGAATTGTATCCTGCGTGATTGTAAATATATTGTGTGGAATATGTGAAATCATAAAATATGATTAAAAATCATATTTTATAATTTCACACATCATAAGACCTCTTTTTCTTATTGTGACAGGTTTATATTTGTCATATTTGTCTCATTTGATTTTAAAGTGACACATATAGATAATATTTGTCGCTTTAAAATCAGATCAGTTTCTTCTAACTTTAACCAAAATATAATTTTATATATAATAAGAAATGTCTGTTTTTTCTTCTTGTTGTGTCATCATTTGTCACTTTAAAGTCGAAGTAGTTTCTTCCGACCTTAATAAGTTCGTCTCTGAAGAAGTTAAACAGTAGAACTTCAGCCGACTTCAGCACCATTCTTTTGGGCGAAAAATCGGCTCAAGTCAGAGCGCATCCTACACGAAGAAAACATGGTAGTAAAAATTACAACGCAAAACTGTTGTAATTTTGGATCATACAGATAATTGTGATCAAAATTACTATGTATTTGTTTAAAAATGTTACGCATGTTTGACTTTACGCTACAAAATTATTATGACTACTTGAATGTTTTACATATCATATACCAGGCGGATCTCGTGTCAGATTTAATACTTCTGTAGCAATTTGCATCACAATTTCGGTACAGTCCAGCTTTACAAAAGATACTGTAAAAAGGAATATAGTCTTAACGTGCGACAATATTTTCCCCGTGTACGAATTGCAAGCTCGATCTACCTCAGCTCGATTTACCTCAGGTCTCGTTCACCCGTCGACATTATTCACAAGACCTGGCGACGAAGCCGTTCGCTTCAGAGCACTCACTCCCGAGTTTGCTGCCGCGAATGACGAGAGAGAATCTAGGAGCGTCGAAGTGTCCTCGATCTTTAATTGCGGAAAACTGAGAACGAGAGTCGTCGACAGTGTTGTCCACCGCGAAGAGAGGAAGCGCGGCTCTCGACGTGTGGCGTTCTCGTGAACGGACACTCGTCTCCGCACGTGGGCCGAGGTCATGATCGACGCGCGTCGGGGCCCCGCTGTTGCGGGGGTGGTTGTGGTTGTTTACTCTATTCGATATCTAAGGGTGAAATCAACCAGTGCCTTACGCCTACGGTAATCTACGAAGACCGAAAGAAACGTTCTCTCAGAAAGGAGGATACACGGGCGCACCTGCGTTCCTTTCAGCATTCGAGAGCTCGAGGACTCGCTGAGCTCGTTCGCTCGCTCGCTCGCTCGCTCGTCAGCACGTCAGCTCGTTCGCTCGCCAATCGATTTCGTTCCCATTGCTTTACGGCGATACAGCTGCCGCGATTATCAAAATAGCTACACGGATCGTCCATTCAGAGACTACGATGCGGTAACGATGAGAATGTACAGTGAGATATACAGAAGTATGAGCCTCTCGAGGTGAACGACCCCGAGTGTCTAACGAATATCCGACTGTCGTAGTCCTGTCGATCGCTGAATTAAGGCTCGTGATCCGTCACATTGCGCCCACCGCTCGGACCGTGGTGCTGGAAGAGAGAGATCGCACGTGACTTCTCCTCAAGAAGACACACCAAATGTCAAATTCAGAGAACAGGGGGGGGGGAGCTGCAGCTCGTAAAAAAATTATAACAAACATATGAGGGGCAGGATTAACGATTCGAATTTTATTTTACATTGCTATTCCCTTATATATCAGCTATTGCTATATTATTATTGTGTACAGGACGAGACAATGGCTGTTGCAACGTTGAATATCTTCGAGGCGAAAAACAGAGGTGACTTTACGATCCTCGATGCTACTCCTCCCAGCGTAAAAAAAGCGTAACCATCGTAAAAAGCTTTTCTTCTAACGAGGAAAGGTTCTGAGGAGTCTCATTGCTTCTGGGTTTAGACTAGTATAGGATTATTCTAGGGAATCTGAATAGCACAAATTTCCCTCCAGTTACACCTGCTATCTTTACGTTTAAAAAAATGACAGCATGCAGAATTTTATAATTTTCAACAATTTAATAAAATTTTTAAAAATCATAATAATCTTTTTGCTAACTATAATTGAAAATATCGGCAGATATTAATCTCCATATAAATACTATAATGCAAAATAGAAATGTTAATCTTACTTTCAACTTCTATTCTAATTTGAGAAATATGGAATAGAAATGCTATCAGCTTGTTCATGAATCAATTTTAAAGCCGAATAAATTTTACATTTTTCTGTAGCGTGATCAATTACTATGGTTTTTTAAAATTCTATTTGATGAAAATTATAAAATTCTGCACGCTGCTATTTTTGTAAACGCAGAGACAGGCGGCGTAAGTGGAAATTTATATTATTTAGAATCCTTAGAATAATTCTACATTGGTCTAAATTCAAAATCGCTGAAAAGCTTCGGGACCTTTCCTTGTTAGTAGGATAGCTTCGAAAAATCTGAAGATTACCTTTCTTTCTTGCTTCGAAGATATTCAAGATGGCAATGGCTATTGACTCCTGTGTATGATATTTTATATATATATAATTATTATATATAATTTTATTATATACACCCATACAGAATATAAATGTCTAAAAGGCATCTTAGAGACGTCTAAAAGATATCCTACTCGTTTTGGAGAGCTTCGGGATGCCTTTAAGGCGTATCTGAGACATTTCTGCTGTTTGGGTAACAATATTATATACATAATAATATTATTTATAATATTATTATTATATATATACAATAAAATTATAGATGACAGAGCGGTGTCAATGTCAAATTGTATAATTTTGCGTTTCTGCACAGCAATAGTTATCACCGTACTTTCGCAGTGTAGAGTTACACATAGAGAACCATCAGCGAAAAATTGTACAATTTTACATTAATATCGTTACCTGCACGGAAAAAAATGCTATTCTGTCAATAGAAATTGTCAACAACGCCGTAATTAAAGCAAATCTTCTCGATTCGACAGCAATGCCGTTAAAACTAATACTTGACCCAGATGGCACACGATATTTTATGATGAATACCTCATGGACGTTCTTAGGATATAGGACGTTCTCTGGACGTCATTAGGATGTCCTTGGCAGATTTGCGCTGTTGGAGCAGTCATCGTAACAACATATGATGTATTGGTTTCAACGATATTGCTGTCAATCAAAAAGACTTACTCCAATTACGTTGATGTTGACAGTTTCTATTGACACAACTGCATCTCTGTGTGTTATTTGTACCATTGGACCATGTGGATCGAGGGAAAATTAAAAGCTTAGGGGGGAATGTGGGTGAGGACGCGAGTCGAGTTTGTTGCGACAGCAGGAGGGAGCAGGGTGGCAAGCTTGAATCGTGCGATGATGCACGAGAAAAACTGATCGTCCCCGAGGGGAAATCTGGTGGCCGAAGTGGTGGTCTCTCTTTCTTCCGGCTCTGCGAGTCCGGCGACCGTGACGTCGCGGCGCGATGATGGATCAGAAGCTTTAAAAGGACGTAACCATCGCAATCCTGTTACGCGCTGGACCGTAAGCGTCGCGTCGCGTCGCGTCGCTATTTATTGTTCTTGTCGCCGATCGACCGCTATCGAATCGCTTAGCACTTGGTCTTGGCGCGCGCGAGAGGACGAGGATCGCGGATGACCCGTCATTCGAACGTCAACGCGAGATACACTTGAATCCGTTCGTAAAAGTCTATGAGTGCGTCTCTTAGTGTCTCTTTTAGATCGGTTTCTAAACGTCTAACGATGATAAGTAAAAATGCTTACTCCTCTTCGACTTTGTACCGTGATATTAGCACTATGCGCGCCGCATCGACAGTAAATTTCTCTCTTTCTCTCACACTCCCTCTCTCTCTCTCTCTCTCCCGCTCTCCTTCCGATTTTCTCTCTTTTTCGATTTCTTCCTCGCAATTTTCCTCAACCTCGCAAACTCGCTCGACATTGGGTCTCTCGGTGCTTCCATATAATTTTCTCGTTTAACCCTCACTATAATCAATTAAGTCCGTAACAAATATTTATACTTTCTCGCTTGCGAAAGAACTATCGTATGTATATATATATATATATATATATATATGTATATATATATATGTATATGTATATATGTATGTATATATGTATGTATATATGTATATATATATGTATATATATGTATATATATATATGTATGTATATATATTGTATGTATATATGTATATATGTGCATATATATATGTATATATAGCTATATACGGCTATAGATCGAGCAACGCAGGAAACATTCGAGAAAACACATAACGATCGCGACATACGAGAGAGACACACGCTCGCTCTAGTTTTGGTATTCGTTATAATACCCACGGCATTGAAAACTTCAGTATCAGTCTTTTTTCACATTGCCTGAATCAAGGTCACAAGTCAGATATGAGTTTGGTGTGTTGTAATAGATTTATATATTGTATAGTGTGCATATTGAAGAATAAAAAACACAAAGGGAAAAAGAATTGTCAAGGCAACGAACGAAAGGTCGGTCACGAGGTACGGCTTTCGCGTGCGTAAGGTGCATGCTCCTTAGGAAAAACGATTGCTCTAAGATTGTTCTCTTAGCTCGATTAATATCCGGTTCATCCAGTCGTGCAGTCACGCAAATGAGAGTCTCGATATCTCTTTTCTTCTCGCGCACAAACGCGGTGTATGTACAATAATTCTAATTGAAAAATATAACTGTGTGTCAGCGCGTGTGTCAACGCGACGAAAGCAACTCTCGTGAGAGGTGAATGAGAAGTGCTCGGTGAATCCTCGACGACGTCAACGTTCTATGTAACTGTTCGCGGCGACAGTCGCGTTATCGCAACGGAGTGATCGACCCTAAGCGTGTCCGTTACGAAAAACAAAATGTTTTCAATAAAAAAAAAAGGAAAATAAAAAGCAAGGCAAAGTTTGTCCGATCACTAAACTTGCACTGAGAAAGAAATACTTGAAAATTTATTTGTGGGATATAAAGTTTATTATTGTGAAACAAAGTTTCTTTATCTGCGAAATAAAGTTTTCTGTGAAATGGAGTTTATCTTTGCGAAATAAAGATTATCTCTATGAAATAAACTTTTATCTTATATAAATACATTTTCAAGTCTTTCTTTCTCAGTATACCGTCAATTTTATCTATATCTGCACTAAGAAGAAATACTTGAAAATTGATTTGTGGGTTGTATAGTTTATTTCTGTGAAATGAAGTTTATTTCTGCGAAATAAAGTTTATTTTTGTGGAATAAGCTTTCATTTCACACGCACAAATAAATTTTGAAGTTTTTCCTTTTTATTGTGGTGTCAATTTGACCTACACTTGTATCGAGGAGAAATACTTGAAGATTTATTTTTGGGATATAAAATTTATTTCTGTGAGGTAAAATTTATTTCTGCAAAATAAAGTTTATTTCTATGAAATAAACTTTTATCATACGTAAATTTTCAAGTTTTTTGTTATCAATTTAAACCTTCACTGAGAATAAATATTTAAAAATTTATTTGTGAGGTATAAAGTTTATTTCCGTAAAATAAAATTTATTTCTGTAAAGCAAACTTTATTTTTGCGAATAAATTTGATATCCCACAAATCTTCAAGTATTTTTTTTTTAGCGTACGCCGGGGACACACATGCTTGAAATTGTGCGAGTGCACCTCTCATCCCCGGCCTTGTCGTACGGCAGTTATGGCGAAAGAAAGAAAGCAAGCAAGCAACGCCTCAGCACTCGAGTGCCGCTGCTATTCTCCGTCATGGATACTTTTTGATTCGAACAGACTCATTCGGAGTAAACGCAACTCCTTGGTCGGACTGATTGCAGGAGTTCACCCGACGAGAGAAGCATCGCGTTAGGGAGATTCCACGATCGTCATGTAACACTTATACGCAAAGATTGTGAGATTATTCGAAGTAACTGCCTCTCGGCAACCCTTTTCCTCCAGTCTTACTATTTACACGTAAAGAACTCGGACAGATGAGGACAAACAGCGGTGAAGTCGTGAAGTAGCTACCGCGACCTGAATGTGCGTATTCAAACAGCACAAGATGTCCTGAGGTCACCCTGGATGTGCTCAAAATATTCTAGAATGCTTCCTAAGCGCTTTGGACACTGGTTCAGGATGATTCTGGGATGCTTTGTGCTATTTGGACAAACTGATTGCACGATAGACACGAACTCTATCTAACTCTCTTCCTCTCTCTCTCCTCTCTTCCCTCTTTTTTTCTCCTTAACTCATTTAGACAATAAAGCTCGACTTTGGCGCGAGAGATTTCGTATTGGTCCATGATGACGTATACGTAAGTAGGTTCCCATTATCTGCGTCATCCTTCTTTCGCGATACCCTAGTCGGTTTCACATCGCGGTTAATCTTTCCACCCCCACCTGTCAATAGTTAACAGATTCTAAACTCTAACGAAGCGCGCAACATCGTAACGTCGTCTCTCGCGAGACATACTATGTATTTGTTCCTTTTACACATTTATTTCTCTCACAGTCCCTCCCAGGCGAAATTGTTAAAGCTGCCCTGCAGTGAGGACGAAAGGGTTAAAGCGCAACTCTCCGTGTCTCCGGAGAATCGTTCATCGAAATCATTATCTCCCTACGCGGTGCTCTCCTTCGTCTCTCCTCTTTCTCTCTCTCTCTCTCTCATCATTCTTTCTCATTCCCCCTCTCTTTTTCTCTCTCTCTCACACATTCTCTTTCCCTCAACCTGTCGAGCTTGCTTCGCCATTAAACTCACTGTCGCCAAAAAACACACGAGGAGCGAGTAACACACACAAGGACAGGCGCGAGTAATAACAATTAAGTACAAGATCGCGTTGGTGATGTGATTGTTTCCGAGTGACGATGAGCGGAGTATCGACTGTGATCCGGAAAGAATTCGTCGCCTCTGCCTCCGGCGTCTTTTTCGCTAAAGTTACTTTAGCGAAAGAAAACAATCGAAGGTAAAGATACTTTGTACAAAATACGATACAAGTAGCGATGTAACAACACTCTTTTTTGCAATAGTTAAATATAATATGTATATGTATATATATATATGTATATCTGTATATGCATATGTATATATGTATATCCCGTTATCGTGTTAATACGCGTACGCTATGATCTCCCGTTCCATCGCCGCACAATTATGATATATGTGATAATCGCGCTCGACGGCCGATTCGCGCGACCCAATCGAACGATCGATCGGGAAGTATTCTGCGTCGCTCCTTCTCTTTCTCTCTTTCTCTCTCTCTTTCCCTCTCTCTCTCTCTCTCTCTCTTACATCTTTTTTTAATTTTTTATTGGTGTCCGTTGTTCGTTCCGTTATTCCGTATCTCCTTTTATTTCTAGTCTCGTCATCGATTTGTCTCGCCGTTTCGGAACGGCCCAACGATAAAAACAACCTTCGTTCTCTCCTTCCGGACATCAAGTAATCCCGAGATTCCGAGATTTACCCGTGGTGATGATTCGGCCGTGGTGAGTGGCCGAGAACGAGAGGATCGAGACGATCCTCCCCTCTCTCTCTCTCTCTCTCTCTTTCTTTTTCTTTCTCTCTCTATCTATTATCTCCCTCACGCGGATCGGTTCGGTTCGCGACGCGATTCCCGAGGCGCGCTCGCGATCCCCATCCGCAGACGGGGATGCAGTGGAAGAGAAACGGAGGAGACGGGGTGTCGGCGTACACGAAGAGGGTGGGAGGGGACTTCCAGTCATATGGAAACAAGAGAAAATTGTCAAGACGAGAGATCGTCATCGTTTATTCGTGTGCATGCGCCACGGCTGGATATAGCTCGCGTCGTACTCATACGCGCGCGCTCTCGACTTCCACGGAGGAAAAATGAAAACAGAAAACAGCTAGAGTTATCGATTAGAGATATGATCATCATTTGGTTGCTGGGTGACGGTTCTCCAAGGCACACCCATGTGTTGTGTCCACACTCCTACGGCGATATGATTATCCCTCCTAGGTCCTTGACCCTTATGTACCTCTTCCCACATGAAGAAAAGTCTGGCTTCGGCTTTTCTCTTCCTCCCTCTCTCTTTCTTTCATTTTTTTTCTTTCTTTCTCTCTCTCTCTCTCTCTCTCTCTCTCTATTCTGCCGCTCGATTGCGTCGAACGACGGACGATCCTCTAAAGCTTCTTTATTTTACGTTTTAACGCGAAACGCGAGACTTTCTTCTCTCTCTCTTTCTCCCTTTCTTTCTCTCCCTCTTTCTTTCCCAACTATCAGGGTTTGATATAATTCGCGTTGCGATGAAGGTTTTTACTCTAAAGTCGAACGTGGCTCCGAATAACGCGAGATCCGAAGAGGACGAAGAGAAACTGGAAGAAACAGTCGCGGATACGCGATTTGCGTGATGCACACCGGCCGCCCACGACACCACCGCGACGTCTGCTCGCTCGATCGTGTGTGCCCGAGGTATATGTGTATGTGTGTGTGTGTGTGTGTATGTGTGTGTAGTAGCTCGTAGTCAATGTCCTCCACTCCGACGTTGAACTACCCTCTGAACTATGTCAGAACATTGCCCTCTGAGAGACGCAGTTCGGTGGGCCAAGCGCACCAAGTATCCTTCTCTCGCAGTATCTCTTTTCTTTTCTCTTTCTTTTATCTTCTTTTTTTTTCAATGGACTGATGCCGCAGCGCTCGAGGATTCTACCGTCGCGAAGTAGAAGACGAAGTAGAAGAAGTAGCAGAAGAAGAAGAACGAGAAGAAGATTTCGGAAAAGGAGGATTAAGAAGAAGTTCGATGGATCTCGTACACGTCGCTTGTTTCTTCTCGATCGGCCACTCCCGAGGACGACGGAGTCGTCAGTATCAGCTCGTGATACCCTCGGCATGACCCTTCGCCTCTCTCTCTCTCTCTCTCTCTCTCTCTCTCTCTCTCTTTCTGTCTCTCGATCGGCTCGTTTCCTCCTTCCTCGGTCGCAAGGCTCGTCCCACTATTCGTCCAGTAATGGTTTTCTTTTGCTATTCTTTTTTTTCTTTTTGCAGCAGCAGTAACGGTTACTATAGCGGCAGCAGTAACAACAGCAGCAGCAGCGATGGCGGTGCACACTCGCTCGTCCGCCCTTCCGCGACACCCGACGAGATACGTGCTGATTGATACGATCCATCCGCATGTGTGAACGTTAGCAACACCTCGTCGTAGTAATACTGATCCACACGACTCGCGCGTGCGGGGCACGACGGTGGCTCGCGCGACAAGTCGGTCAAAGGTCCACGTGAACGTGGGGCGCGTTAAGGAAGAAACAGAAAGAACCACGGTGTTGACAACGCGCGACCATTGTCGTCATTGTCTTCATCGTTGTTGTCGTCGTCGTCGTGCTTGTAGTTGTCATCATCATCATCATCATCATCATCATCGTCGTCGTCGTCATAATCATCATCATTATCATCATAATCATCATCATTATCGTCGTCATCGTCGTCACAGGAACGATGGCTCCTCCTCACTTGCCCAATCCAAACTTCATGAAGATCAGCTCCTTGCCCTTGGACAGTATGTCACCGCCGGCGCTGGCGCCGGCCATCTCCGTGAACTTCTGCATGAGGTTCGGCCCGGTGCTCTGTTGCTGCGGCTGTTGCTGCTGCTGCTGTTGGCCCTGCGTCGGGTTAGGCTGCGCCTTAGACTGCGCGGTGGGTATCACCGCCGGTATGCCCCTCATCGGCTTGCTGGTGCTCTGAGGCCCGCCAGGCTGCATCGGGCCCTGCGGGCCTTGCTGCATGAACGGCTGGCCGGGCTGTTGCTGTTGCTGCTGCTGCTGCGGCTGCTGAAACTGCGGGCCCTGCGCGCCGAATCCCAGCTGTTGCTGGTAACCCTGGCCCGGCGGCTGCTGCTGGTACGGCTGGTTCGGCTGCTGCTGCTGCTGCTGCTGCTGCTGGTACGGCTGGCCCGGCTGCTGCTGGCCCGGGTAGTCCTGCTGTTGCTGGAGGTGCTGACCTGGGCCCTGCATACCCGGCATGTTACTACCAGCGAGCCGATTGACCACGCCGCCCCTCCCCTTCCCCTAGGAACAAAGAGACGAGGTGATTCGAACGGTTCTACTTCTCTCTTCCGTGGTGCGAGCGATCCACCACTTGCTCGTGCCTCGCTCCCCGTGTGATCTGGCAGCTAAAAAATTTGACTTTCGTCAATCGTTAATCTATTGTCGACCTAACTCTATCGCACTCTATTCGTTCCTCCACTAGTGTCACACTCCGCAACAGAGACGAGACTGCTCTATCGTTCTATAAAGTACCTACGCCTCGCTAAAGGTAAATAAATTGTCGCAAGATGATGTGTTTTATGCTTCTTGTTTCATTCTATGCAGGCTTGCGAGTAATTATATTTTTAATTAATTACCATGTTTAATTGACCATTCGTGTGAGCCAATTCAATCAGGGAACGTTTAGTTGACGATTGATCTCAACGAATTCCCACCGGAGACCCTTCGACTCTCCATTCATTTCAACGAATTCAATTAAAGACCGTTCCATTGACGACTGATATGTTAAGAGAATTAAGGATCGTTTAATTCATGACTAAACTTAGTAAATTTAACTGAAGGCTGTTTAATTGATGACTAATATAAACTAATCCAATCGATTCATTCAAAGATTATTCCGTGACGACTGATATGATTAGTGCCCCTTCTCTCTCCCTCATAACGTAGGTCCTACTTAGCGCTTCTGAATTATCGGCTTTTCCCACAATACGATACTCCTGGTATGAATATTATCTACAAAATCAGTGGCCTTGAGTAATCGAGTGCACTTCGACTGAGTCGATTGAATTTGCTCATATCAGTCGTCAATTAAAATAAAAATCAAACAAAATTTGCACAATTTAATCATCAGTTAAACAGCCTTTAATTAAATTTGCTAAATTTAACTGTCAATTGAACGATCTTCCATATCCTTCGCTCGTATCAATCGTCAGATCAACGGTCTTTAATTTTGAATTCGTTGAAATCAATCGTCAATTAGATATTCTTCGATTGATTTTGCTCGAGTCGATCGTCAATCAATCGAGATACATATGTTAGGGTCAATTATTAAATTTAGCAAAACTTAATTGACATTCTTGCGATTCTGGTTCTATGCAGTTCTACGAACCAACGAATGTATGTTAGTTGACGAAATAAGGAATGAGATGTGTTAATCGATAAACAAGCGCAAAGGCGTACATATGACTCCGAGAGAATTAAATAAGAACATACGCGCGAAGGTCAGCAAGGATCTCTTTCGTGTCTCGTATATCCCCGAATCGTCATAATAGATTTTACATGGAATATATGTGTCGGTGTATACATATATAGACGGTTCATCGACGAGGCACAAAGTACGTTTCTAATTGCGACGATTTTCTCACAATTAATCTCACAATTAATGATGTAACGCCAGTTAAGACGATACTATGGCATGCTACGACTTTTAAAGCGGTCACATGGCAGATATATGTATACTCAGAGAAATTATCCGATAAGAAATTAACAAACGGATATTTCCGAACGAATTCCGTTTAATTTTTATATCCGATCGGGATATCCGATCAAATCTTATCGGATACTTCCGATCATAACGGCATTTCATCAGATCAAAAAATTATGAACCGACATTTCTCATCGGACGTTTCCTGATCAGATACAAAAATTCGTCGGTATTTTGATCGGAAATGTCCGTTTGTTAATTTTTTATCAGCTAATTTTTCTCAGTGTACGAACACACGTTGATATGAAACTCATGTAGCTTATATGCTACGTTTGGTACATGTATTTCATTTTTTTTTTGCAATAAAACGTGGCTCACGTTTGCAGAAGTCACGAGAAGATATACACAGCTAATTAAAATGCAGAAATATCGAGGACCGTCAGATGTCTCCAGGGAGAAGAGACTTTATGAGTTTTTTTTTCTTTCGGGGTCGTTATTGGTCTCGAGAGAGAAGTATTTAGAATATGTAGAAATTACAAGATTATACCATCTTTCTTACTCTTAAGCTGTATTTCGCACTCATGCAAGAGAATCGAAGATCATTCAGTATTCGCAAGAGAGTACGAGTTACAATTACGCATCAGAGCTGACAGCAAAGCACAGAAAGCGACATATACGACACAAACGTACAGAAATACGAGATCATGTATGACTTTTCAACAAACTCTTATTTTCCGCAATTTTATCGTCATCCAGATTTTTATAACTGAATGGTAACGCAATCCAGCGAGACGATAAGAAACCTTTCGTTCTAAGAAACTGATTTTGAATAATTAAGAGAGATATATTTTTGGTTTTTTTTTCCTAAAATTTTAGATTCAACGTTAAAAGGAACGCTGAATTTCTCTGATTTTGTTTAAAGACCTTATAGTAAGAGTCTGGCCATCAGAGGAATTCTGGCAAAATTCCTCGAGAGAGAAAGATATATATTTCTTAGAGACTCTCTAGGAAATATATATCTTTCTCTCACGAAGAATTTTGCCAGAATTCCCCTGATAGCCAGACTCTTATTATAGGGTCTCTAATTTTGTTGAAAGAAAACCGGCGACTCTTGATCTCACACACGATCGACGACTCGTCAGGGACTCACAGACGGTCGTCGATCCTGAAGAAAGGTGCCTCAATGTACGTAGACAAGCACAGAAGGTATGGACGGAAGCTCGCTTTTGGTAAGCACGAAAGAGAGAAAGCGAAACGAAGAAATTTCGGAAGAGGAGCGGGCTCACCTGTTGCTGAAGGTGGGGCGGTACGGGACCTTGCTGATGGGGACCCATGACACCGCCGCCGGGTGGCAAGTGACTGGGCCCATGCTGATTGGACGTGGTTACGGTCGTGTAGCTGTGGTGATTCGCTTGTTGGTACGCTAGATGCGGTGGATTGTTTTGTTGATGTTGTAGTTGTTGTTGGTTGTTCATTAGTGATGGTGGTGGTTGTTGTTGTAGTTGTCTAGAGTCTAAGTGACAGACAGGGACAGACACAGGCACAATGCAGGCATCTAGCAACAGAGAAGAGAACAGAAACGTGTTGTCATTTATGGCGCATTTATCTCTCTCATTCTTTTTTCTTTCTTTAAAAAATTTTTTTTTCCTTCGAGTCGATCGAGCATGCCGAGTGTACTCCCGGAATCTCTCAGAGAGCGGACGCGACGCTTCCGGCGCAGAGTAGCGCGGACATCACCGGCAGATATCATTGCCGTGCATTCGAATTGCGCGCGAGGCTTGTTGCGGATTACTCGACGAGATCCGACAACGTCATGCGAGATTCGTCCGGGACAAACGACACCGTCGCTCGTTTTAGGCACTTCAGGCCTAGCGATCTCTAGTGCGACTTTTCTCTAGGAGCGAAAACGTGACAAGTGAAAAGTTTCATGCAAACTCGACGAGCGAGCGCGTATCTTTTCGAGCAATGCACAGAAAAAGAAGAGCACTCTTGTTTTGAGAATAAGTTTGTTCTTGACATGTAAATCTTCAAATGAGATTCCATAGTGTTAAAGGAAAATAAGTTACTTGCATCGATATATTTTATATAATTCAACAAAAAGATATCTGTACATATTCTTATTGTTCAAAAATAATTCTCACGAATAAAAAGCAAAAAATATTGGATTGACAATATAATTTTTCAGTGTCGGAAGAAGATATCATCATCATCAGAAAAATTATATTCTATTTCTTATAAGACTGTTATAATATTTTAAAAAATTATAATATTTAAAAAATTCAAGAGTTTAAATTCTTCTAATAGAATCTTATATCGTTGCTTGTATATGAGATAATGATTGTTAATTTGAATATATCAGTTTTAAGTGAATACTAATTATAATAAGTCAATAGTTTGAAGCGAATTCTTTTCTGCGTGGAGATGCGAAACTTTTCACACTTTTCATGCTTGTATTCTTGGAGAAAAGTTACACGACCGCCGCCCTGGACGAAAGTCGCGAGCGTCGTCGATCTCCATTCGATCGATCGCGAGGAAACGGAAATCGCGAATCAACGTAATCGTAAATGGCCAGCATGACAACACGACACGAACGACAATCATGTGACACGACGACCATCGATCAGTTCAGGCACACAGAGACAGATCATGTCGGTATAAAGTAAACTGTTATATCACAACAACATGATCGTGTGTAATAGTCAGTCGACAAATATATACAATACCGGACAAGAAGACAGCACACGTGCTATCTTTAAGTTATTCATGATGTACTTGTACTTCTCCAAGTGTAGCGAATTGCACGTGAACATGGTATCTCGTAAAAGTATAATAAACGCTCGCAAACTGAGACACGCAACTGTTGTCCTTTGTGTTTATCAATATAGTCGTCGAGTGAGGAGAGGCGAAATGATAGCACATCTAACAAGGGAACACCGCGAACCCGAACTCTTTGATTTTGATACAATTTTGTGAGTATGTAGAGTAAATCAATACATAAATAACGGTATATTCCATTTGTGTCTTACCGCTATTTAAAGGTATGATTTACACTCTCAAAGTAGAAAGGACGATTCCACTTTTTCGTGTATTATTCTTAAATTAAAGGAGATAGAAAAAAATTTTTCGAACAAAAGTTTAATGGTAAGTTAAATGCTGTAAATTGATATAAGCATAAATAAAAAAATACCTTTTTTTATTGTAAAAAAATTTGTATAGGTATTTTTTTATTTATGCTTATGTCAATTTACAGCACTTAATTTATCATTAAACTTTTATTCGAAAAATTGTGTTTTCTATTTCCTTTAATTTAAGAATAATACACGAAAAAGTGGAATCGTCCTTTTTACTTTGAGAGTGTAAATTATACTTTTAAATATAGTGATAGGACGCAAATAGAATATATCGTTATTCATGTATTGATTTACTCTATACATAAAAGTGTATCAAAATAGAATTCGGGTTCGTGGTGTTCCCTTGTAAAAAATGCAAACGTGTGTGTGTTTATCGTTTATGAAACAGAAAACAAAATAGCAATTAACCTTTTTAGTGATGCGTACCTCCTTTATTTTTGAGTATCTCAATCATTTGTTTTGATAGTGAATTGTAAAAGTTTTGAACACTATTTTGCGACAGGTTGCTCCATTCCTTTACGACATTGTTTCAGCTGATTAACGTTTCCCGTCTTTATAAACGGCTCATGTAAACTCTTCCCAACAATTCTCAATAATGTTCAAGTCGTGACTGCGTGTTGAAAATTTCAAAAAGGGAATACTTTCACGTGAGAAATACAATTTCGGCACTCTGGACGGCAGTATTGTCTTACTGAAACACGAAGTCTGTCCCAGCAATGCGTTCTGCATCCTTACTAATTTGTCTTTTAGGTCAAATTAAGGATGTGTAGCAGATGCTATTCATTTGGGCCTGAATAAATTGCACCGTTATAGCCGATATCTGTTCACACCAATCTCCATATGACGCCGCATTTTTGTTAATTCCTCTTTCCATACGTTATAATAGTAGCAATTGAAATCATCAGAGCCGTCCAGATTACATTTTTTCTCATTCGTAAATATTATTTCATGTTCTTTTGCAAATTGCAAGAAATTTTGTTTATGATGTGCCATTAACGGCAGTTTCTTTTCAAGTTTTTTTCGTCTAATATTGTCACATACCTGGAGTGCACGACGAGCACTTAACATTAGTTTCAACGCTTGCTTCGTGAGCAATGTTTCGCTGGGAAACAGCAGTTCGATGCAACCCGTAATATAGCTCATTTTTCTCGTACAGATAATGTAGAAGGTCGATCATTGCTTCATTTTTCTATCGTAACTGTTAACATTTTTCAATAAATTGCAAGTAATTTTTCGATTTCTTTTCACAGTAATTTTCAAGATGGATAATTTTTGCTTTCTTCATACAAAAATCGTTTGTATTTCGTTCTTATTTAATTTTTTTCTACGTCCTATGTTTGAAAATACTTCTAACAAGGTAATAGTACGTTTATATCAATTGAAAGATATCAGTAAATATTAAGAATGTTGTAAATACTGTTGTGTATTATCATTTCGTCTTTCTCACTCGATGACTTGTATTGAGAAACACAAAAGACAACGGTTGTGTTTGTTATACATATTATACGGAGCGAGTGTTATATTTTTACGAGATACCATGTTTACATAAAATTACACTCAGTTGCACTTAGAGAAAAGCACACGTATATCACGGATAAATTAAAGATAAGATAGCGCACACGTGCGCTATCTTATTTCTGTCCGTCAGTGTATACATATTATCGTAAATAGTATTGTAAGTACGTACGTACATGTATATATAGATATATATAAATGTGACATAAGTATGATACGTATAATATACATATATAGATCTATATATGTAAACAGAGAGAATAGCAAAAGTACGTAGACTAATAGTATCAGAGAGATAAATATCTGGAAAGAAAAAAATATATGTACGTATATATGTATATATGTGTGTATATATATATACACATATATACATACATATATGTATCTGTGTGTGCATATATATATGTATATATGTATATATATGTTAGATATACTTAATAGAAGACACTGAAAGCAGCTTAGTGTTTTATTGCATATAGATGTGTATATATATATAACACATATGTATAGTCCACACATATCGTATACATATATACAATCTACATATCGTCGTGTGTATGACAGCACGTGTTTTTCTCAGAGACGTTCACCAATTCTTGTATATACATGTGACACACTGAAGGGGAAATCTCTATCGATGTATATCTGTGACGTGTCGGCAATTTTGTTCAAACAGAGAGTCTGTTGCAAATGCCTGCGAAAGCGTGGCACATCGGACGGCATCGTCGACGGGAGGAGACGCTCGCAAACGAAACGACACAACGAGGTCCCCGTGGTCCACGAGGCGCGCGCGTGAAGCACGCGTCGTCATCGCCGTGCAAATTTACACTTGTTACTCGATTTGTTACTTCGTCTCGTGACAATAATGCTACGTCGCATGCTCATTCGGCTCGAATTGCAACTCTCGATTGGGCACGCCAGATTGCGCAACGCTAATCATTAAAGAGTGTGACCCTTTCTGCCTGTCGTCTGGCACATCTGGTTTCGTGTCTTGTGTTGCTCTGCCGTTGGCATTTCACGTTTACATCGACGCGACGCGACGCGCTGCTGCGTGTGATAACGCTGCCGCGTGTTTAATGCTCTCGACCTTAACCGCGCCGATAACACGAGTGCACCACAAGTCAGATCGGATGAGGCGGGAGAAAACATCGACAGAGAACGTCGCATCGGTGTGAACGTATCGTTAACTACCAGCGTTGCGCATTGAGCGATTAAAATTTTAGTTGACTAAGACCCGCATTAATAGTCGTTACTTGAAGATCTTGAATCTTGTCTCACGTCAGATATTTCGATATAAATTTAGAGTTAGATGTGAGTATTTTTATTTGAATCATATATATATATATATATATATATATATATATATATATATATATATATACATACAGGACAAAAATCCGGAAACGGTCAAATATCTCGAAAAGAATCAACTGTAGCGAAAAATATGTAAGTAGCAAAATTGTAGGGCTTAATAAAATGTACCTAATAATGGCTAAAAATTTGACTTTAGGTGGAGGATGAAGGTCATATGAAAGTCAAATTGAATTTTTTAAATTGGACCCCCCACTTTTTATTACATATTCTTGTAGCTTATTTCAAGGGTTTTCCAAAAACCTAGAATAAAGTATTTTTTTATTAGGCATATTTAGAGTTATGAGGCTTCAAAGGATTTTGGTCTTTAACTGTTTCTGTTTCGTAAAAAACGTATCACTGTGTTCTGAACGATGGAAATAAAATTGCGATCAGGATATGTAGCACTGAATGTGTAGATCAGTTACTTCTTCGTATGATCTAATATGGTCTCTAAATTTTCGATAAAGAAACAGCATTATCTTTTTTTTATCAGTTAACATTTTTAAAAAAGAAATTTTCGTATGACCTTCATCCTCCAAAGTCAAATTTTTAGCCATCATTAGGTACATTTTATTAAGTCCTGCAACTTTGCTACTTGCATATTTTTCGCTACAGTTGATCCTTTTTGAGATATTTGATCGTTTCCGGACTTTTTGTCAACCCTGTATATATACGCGACATTACATTTGTAATCACATTCAAATAAAGACCTCTCAGATAGCACAGAGAATTCAAAAAGAATTCAGTCGTATATCACCAATTCTGAGTTCATTTTCAGATGCAAAAAAATTCTTCAAAGTTTAGTTCAGTGAAAAGAATTCTTTTTGCATCTAAAAATGAACTCAGAATTGATGACATACGACTGAATTTTTTTGAATTCTTTGCGTTATCCGGGCTCACATCTAACTCTAAGAGCCATATTAATAGTTGCTTGAAGTTTCTCACGTGAGACACTCAGATTCAGAATTAGATCTGAGATTTTTGATTGAATTATATGTTATATGTGATGTTATGTCTGTAATTCAACTGAAGAGCTCTCATCTAATTCTAAACTCAAATCTGAGTACCTCACTTGAGAGAAGTTTCAAGTAACGACCATTAATATGGGCCTAAATTGAAATCTAGATATCTCACTTGAGACAACATTCTAGTAATGACTATTAATACAGATTTAAAATAGTCGGCAAATCATTAATCAAAATTAATCAGTCGTCATATATGTAATCACGAGTAATTTAATCGATTGGTGAAGTTAATTATTAATTAAACTTAAATTTGGTCGATAGTACACCGATTAATAATTAATTACATCAATCAATTTAATTGCTCGTAATTACATATATGATAATTAATTAATTTTGACCATTGACTTACTAATGTTTTAGCCAACTAAAATTCGTATCGACTAATGCTCAATGCTGTTGTCAACAACCCCTCGAGCCAACTCTTCTGTAACGTCCGATTAATGCGCGGATTTCGCGCAGCAGCAAACTGTACGCGACGTAATCCAATCGGTAATCTCTTGGTAACTGAGACAAACCAATCGTTCTGCACATGCATTGTCTTGAAAAATCAAATTGTCGAAATTCGAAAACTGAGACACAATTTCTTGAAAAGTCGTAGTATCGTGATATCGAGAATATCAAAGTCGTAATATCGAAATCGAAATCGTAATATCGAGATCGTATAGCGAGACAGTATCCTGAAATATAATTTCTCTAAAGTATACTTTAGAGTTGGTTGTCATAGTTTTGGCTTGAGAGGCTATCCATGCCCTGATAACTGACGATTGCAAAGAGGATTCGATATATGACGGTGTTTACCTTTTCCGCGTCGGTGACCAGCTGGGGGTGGTTCCCGCGGAGGAGGTGGTGGCCCTCTCGCACCCGGTCCTTGACCCTGACCAGGTCTCCTACTCTGCGGCGGTTGGCCCTGGTTCTGTCCCGGTGCCTCGGTGAGGAAGTTACTCGGCACCAAACCCCGCACGCCGTTCAGCTCGCCCATGTAGAAGCCATCGTCGTCCATGTCGCCGTAGACGTAGATCTCGTTTCCGGTTTGGAACGTTAACTCGACTTGCTGCAAAGTCGCGGGAATGAATGGTCGATATATGGAGGACACATATTTGAGTGATTAATGATGGATAATTTGCGGACTCGTTAATGACGAATGACGACTCTGTGAGCAACCCGAATGACTTTCTAACTCGAAAGTATTATGATAAGAATCTTACAGAATCAACGTTAGGAGATAATTCATGAGGATCGTAATCGTAGAGAGCTATCATCTTCTTCATGGGGACGCTCGCGTAAATGTCTCCCCATCTGTCGCTTTGTGGTCCTCTCCTGCCGGGCTGACCTTGACCCGGCTGATTCTGATCTTTGATTTCCTCCACCATGTTATAAGGAACGTATCCGCGTCTACCGCGACACTCGCCCCAGTAGAAGCCGTCACCATCCTTTTCCCCGTATACCTGTGATATAAGAAAATATCATAAAGAGCGCAACGTTTGTGGGGTTCATAAATATAAATCGGGTATTGAATTTTAGTTGTAGTAATATTCCGAACTCATTTATCAACGAAATTTTATGAATGTGAATTTAATTTTACTTGATTTAACTTTGCTTCAGATCTGAACTAGAATAATTTTCATTTATATAATTTCCAATTTTCAAAGTTCCAATTTCATTTGGGATTAATTAAAGAGAGAGAGAACAGTTTCCTAATTCTCCAAGTTTCAATTTAATATTTTGCAAATATTAAATAGGAGTGAGATGGAGACAAATTAAACCTTGATAGTGTCGCCTTCAGAAAACGGTAGTTCCTCCTCGCATCCGTCAGGATTCGGTGACATGTTCGTGGGATCGTAATCGAACAGTGCCACGAACCACCGCTGCCTTTTGTTCATCTGTTGAGCCGTACTCGACGAGTGGCCTGCTCCGCCTTGAGGCTGCGTCACCCGACCACCGCGATAAGGCCCTCTTCCCCTTTGAGCACCTGAATAATGCCCAAACAGCGTCAATGACAACGTTACGTGTCGTTACAATCAGCATAAGTAACATAGAAGAAATATAATTGTATATTTACCGACCATTCCAAAAACATAACTACACGAAAAGGACAGCGAAACAAGTTTGTGAACAAAAGTTTCGTTAATAAAAATTATTCAGTCAAACAACAAATGTCAGAGCGGAAGGAAAAATGCTCCAATAATAAAAACATATTTGAGAGGGGCCGATTTTGTTTAAATTTAAACTTTAAAATTAAGTCTTCTGGCTACTCGCTGCGGCTATTTTGATTTACGACATCAGAAGAGGGAGGAAATATATGCCCAAAATTCTTGCGAAGTATGTCGAAATAAAAAGATATATAAAAAATGACATTAATTAAACACCCCTCTGAAATATTTGAACATTTTCCTTCCCTTTCCAATCAATAAATAACCGTAAAAATTTATCGTGTTCACGTGTAGTTTGTTAATTTAATTTCCTCGTTACTTTATCACGTTAATTTTACGATTATTATTGATTGTTAAAGCAAAAGGAAAATATTCAGAATATTTTGGAAGTGTCTTAATCGATTGCAAGTGTCTTTGAATATATCTTTTTATTTCGATATACCTTGCCGAAATTTTGGGCATGCATTTCCTCGCTTCTGCCGTCATTAATCAAGAGTTCCGCGGCGAGTGTGACCAGGAGCCTTGATCTTAAATTCTATTCAAACACATTATTAACACAGAGTCAAAATAGAAAAATCGGCCATTATAGGATCAATCAATCGCAGCGAGAGAATGGTCGTGTATCTACCCGCTTGGTCGTAATAAGGATCTTGAGGTCTACCGCTGGGTCCGCCCATGCTGGGAGACCTATGTGTTCCGGGCGGCCCTTGTGGATCCATCTGGGGGCCGTATCGATGATGAGGCCCATGGTGTTGCGGTGGCATTCCCCGTGCCCTTCGCGCGGGATCGTCTTCCTCGCTGTAGTTCGCCTCGCTGGCAGAGTCCTTCGTGATTTCCGGAATACCTGAACAGAGTTATCGATAGTCGGAGTTAAACGGAGTCGCCTGAGCGGGCACGTTGGGAAACTTGAGTTCCTCATGGGAGTTCATCATCCAGTTAAGTCTCACCGCCCAGATAGACGTTATTTCAGCGTATTATCTGACTAACACAAATATACAAAGATGTGTTCTCATATGACAAGAATTTTATTAAAATATAAAAGAAGCCATCGGGTTCTATGAAAATTGCAATAATATTCGAACGCCATGGTCGCTTATTTTGCCGGAAAGAAAAATTAATTCGAAATTATTGTGGTGATAAGGAAAATAAATATTTTGGTGAAAATTATTGGCGTAATAAGAAGACATTCTTTGAAACAGGCATATTTTGAAACGTTGTGCTGTTGCAATAGCATCACAAAGTATCCCAGATAACATGTCTAAAATCGGGACATAAGACGTCTTAAAGATCATCTTTAACGACATTTATACGTGAATCGTCTGAAAGACATCTCAAAGATGATCTTTAAGACGTCTTATATCCCGATTTTAGACATTATTTTGCCTGGGATACGTTAAATGTTTAAATGTAGCACTCCTGTCTGTCTGAGCGGCGTTTCCCGCACAGCTCACTCACCCATCTGAGAGATGCTCTGTCCGGGGTAGATCTCTTTGTCAGACAGATTCTCGTCCGTCTCGATGATAACCTGACCGTGGGCGTCCACCCTGTTGGTCACGTGTCGTCGCATGTGCGAGGAACCGGGCGCGTTCGGGTACCGTTGGACGACACCGGTCGCCATACGATGGCGATTGGGGTCGTCCTGCGGGCCTATGCCGGTAGGCTGCTGCTGTTGCCGTTGATCCATCATGTGTGGAGGCCCATGGGGTGGCAGATGAGTGGCAGTACCGCCGCGCAGCACGCTGCAGGGTATCGCTGTGGCGCAACTGTCGCCGGACTGGCTCTCTCTGCTCTTAGTCCTCACGGTGATGTGTTTTGGATTCAGGCCCATCAGCTTGTGTATGTCGACTAGAGCGTGGTCGCCGGTAGGGCTGTCGACGTCGGTGACCTTCTTACCATCGGCGTACACCGCGTAACCGGTGACGGCCGAACCGTTTAGGGCAACAGGCTGCCAGGTCACTAGCAAAGTGCCGTCCTGCGGTCCAGCCTCCACCTGAAACCGAGGAGCACCCTCGTTAGTTCGGACTATTGATCCCTGACGACTTGGAAATTTAATCCTTTTAGTACCAAAGTAAATACACTGAGAAGAAAAAGTGTTTGATATTGGTAACTATATTTACATAAAGAAGTAATTATAGTCAAGAAGAGGTTTTTTTTTTTACAAATTCTGCTATAACGTTATAGTGATAAAAATCTCATATGTATATAACTTCTGTCATTTTTTCGTGTTGGAACAACCGGAAAATATGGCCAAAAATAACTGTTAAGTCTTGGATCAATCATTTCTTTTTCTCAGTATGCATAGAAGTCTCGATGATGTTACTTTCTATTTTGTTTCTTTAGATATCTTTCTGTTTAGCTGTTGGAGAGTGGTGTGTGCGTGGGGCAAGTGACACAGCGGTACTGAAAGGATTGCGATGCAAGGTGCAACGTAACGTTAGTAACCTGGATATCGACCGGAGGGTCCGGCAGTCCCTTGGGCAACGTTTTAAAGTGGACGTGGCAGGCCAGATTGTTCGCCGCCTGGGCGTTTTGGTCCTCGAAGTGCGTCGCCCTCAGGTTCTTCGCCTTGACGGTCACCCTGTATATCGTCGACGGGGCTAAGCCGGTGATGGTGTGTCTGTAGACGCCCGGCTTCACGGTCCTCACTTCCACGTTATTCACGCACACCACGTGCTGGTGATTGCTGTTGCTGGGTAGCCAAGATATCACGGCGCTGGTCGCGGTCACGTTCGACGCCTTGACGGCGGTTGGGCCCAGCGCGACGTCCTTACCGATCACCATCGTGCAAGCGGCGTCGCGGGACGTCCTCCTCGAGTGCGTGACCGAACGCACGCTTATCCTGTGCGGCTGCATTAGCGGAAAAACAAGCATTTTCTCAATACTGCTCGAATGAAGATGCAACACTCTTGCTTTATTCTGGTGGATTTTTATGATTCCAATAAAAAATATCCAATATGTATTCGAATATTCGGGTATCTTGAGCCTTTGAGATTTGTTTTTTTCGACTTTTGTTCTCAATCAATTTCAACCATCGAAATTCACTCGCTTTGCGACAATATCGTGGAGCTTGAATTTACTTCAACATTTCACATTTCATTAATATAACATTATATATTTACAATAATATAATAAGAATATTTATATTGAATATATGAATAAAAAAGTATGAGTCAATAAATAAAAAATTTATTCATAGAATAGACGAAACGCGCGTGCGTGATGTCAAGGTAGACTAGGACTGCAAGGGGTTAAGTGAATATTTGAAATCGGGAATCAATAATTTCGAATTTACAAGATTGAGTAAGTTAAATTTTCTAAAAGTAAGTTAAGTTTTTCCAAAGTTATTGATTTTTAAATTAATTTAGTTTACGTGAAAAGTTACATAAACAGAAACTAACTGAATTAAAATATTAAATTAATATTAAATTAACTTATTAATTTATTATTAAAGTTAAAAGTTAATTATGCAAAGCATGCATGTTTTTGTATAATTAACTTTTTAATTAAAGATTAAATTTGAAAATTATTGATGAAAAAGATAGACTTCTATACAAAAAATATTGACTATTTTGTTTTCGGGATTCCAAAGAAATACTAGTTGCTCAGAGAGACCAAAGAATTCTTCTGTCATTATTTGTTTTTCATACACTGTTAGCAACTCTCAATAATTTAAATATTCATGAGAAGGAAGACTATCTTAACTTGTATAAAAACAAAGTTAATAAGTCAAAACTAATACATTTTAAAAGAACTGGTTTAATTTAAAAGTTGATTCATTTAAAATGAAATAAACTAAATAAAAAAATTATTAACTTTTTAACGTTTTAGCTTAACTTGTAATCGATATTCATCATCCAACCCTGCGAATTTATCTAAATTCGAGAATTGATTAGATCATCTCGCGTGGAGGCGAAGAGTACTTGCATAAACTCTCCAAGGTTCAAAGAGTGAGCTTGTTATACGAACCCGAGTGGAATCGACTCCTTCCACCAACGCCCTGGTCCTCTCGGTGGCCTTCACTGTAACCTTCAGAACGCCGTCCACGTAGACGTGATAGGACTCGAGCTGGTGCGGGTTCTCGGGCGCGGTCCATCCGATCAGCACGCTCTTGTTGAGTTGCCGCTCGAGAGTGAGGTGCTGCGGCGCCGGAACTAGGTCCGAAAACAGGTAGACTTCTTCAGGAGGAAAAGACAAAGACAAAGCCTAGCTGTAGCTAAGGATCTCTCACTATCTATCTCACTAAAGCCAGCCTAAGTCCAGCCAACATATAACATAGTGCAAAAGTCAGTTCTCTGTCCCCGTTCACTTCATGACTACTCACTTGGAGAACTTGGTTCAGGATTAGGGCTTTAACTGTGGACTCTTTTTGCAGCGTAACATGCACTTTTCCCGTACCGTCCGCGTTAATTATCGTCAACGAGCGACAACGATTCGAGGATGGACGGGACACCACGTAGACGGCGATTCCGGTGATACTCTTCCCGGGGGGGAACACTGTATATCTCGCACCTGACACGTAACACGCACATCAAGTGGGATTGTCAAGTGTTGGGAAAAGCGAGTTTTCTCTTTCGCGCACACGAAGGCGAAGGATGGAACTTCTGCATAATTGGAATAGTTTCTACGATTGTGTATCGCGCGTAGTCTCTACGAAACGCGGAGTAGTTTCTACGACTGCGTCGTGTGGTCGTGTTACTTTGCTAAGAATAGGCCCGTTCGCTAGCTAGCTCCCTTCTAAGAATCGATCCAAGTACCAAGTACATCTAGACGTATACTGGATTGCGTGGGGAAACTTGTGACAACCATCTCGTCTAATTGAACGTTCAAAGAGCGTCATGCGTCATGCGTCAGAGGTCTTGCAAAGCTCCACGACTAAGTCGTAAAAGCGTACCAACCTGGCGGCTCTTGTTCGTCTTCCTCCGCGATATTGTCGAGTTCCGCGTACGCGGACAGTTCCGCCTGACGGTTCCGATTACCTTCCTCCAACGCAGCCAGTTCTAAATCAATATCCTGCAGATAGCACTAAAATAGATCAAATTGAGGATTATTATCTTCCGGTTCGCGCTCGATATACAACAGCTGTATGATAATATCGCCCCTTATCTGCTACATATCGTCGTAACGTCGATCTAATCGCATGAAAATTGATGTGTTAGAGCGCGAATATTAGATCCACCAAACACCAACACGTAATAACACTACGTCAACCCCACACAATACGCGTGTCTAAAAAATAGTGCGTTTCTTGGACGTCTTTAAGTAAGATGATTCGCTTTTATTGGTACAGTCCTGGTTTTTCACAGAATTTTTTCGAATGCTCCACAGGACGTCGACTTGTCTCGAATTCAGCCGAACTGCCTCAGTTTATCTCGATTCAGAGGATTTTTAAAATGTTTCTGATCAAGAAAGATCTTCTCAAAAGAATTCAAAACTAATAAATATAGCAACTTTACTTCTTCTTTAAAAAAAACAAGAGTTTCTTTAAAACAAGAGTTTATCTTAGCAATCTATTTTTACTATGTGTAATTGACCTTCATTCTTGTTAAATTATTTTTTACTTGCTTATAAATATTATTTCATATGTTCTATATATATATATATATATATATATATATATATATATATATAATTTTTAGTGATATCCTCCATATCATTATACATATCTCCTCCCTCTTCTCTCGCTTGATATATTTATGAAGTGTCCTGGATTTGGAGTAAAAAAATCTGGCCACTTTAAATTTTTAAGAGTCCTTAAGAATCTTAAAAGTCTTCAAGAGTATTCGTGTCTTGAAGGAGATGTTATAATCGTTCACTCAACAATGTAACCGTTACATACATCATGTGTTGTATTTACATTGTGGAGTAGCAATTATATGATGTATGACGCGATTACATCGATGTGATGTTACTGTTGGTTGGTGTTTGGTAGAGTTTAGTAGAGGAAGTATGTAGGGTCGGTTAAAATACGCGTTTTGTAATGCTCACTTGAGGAATATTCGTTGAAGCGGAATCGTCCACGTCTCTGAGGCTGAGGACGGCTTGATGGAAGTCCAGCAGATCGTCGCCGACCAGCTTCTGGACGAAGTTAGCCGGCACCAGACCGCGTCTACCGTCGAGCGTCTCTGCGTCCAAGAAACCATCGTCGTCGGGTTGACCCCAGACCAGGAGGTAATCGCCGCCTTGGACCGGCAGCTCCGCCTCTGGATTCGCGTTCGGCGAGTGATGGCACGGTTCGTAGCTGAAGCGAGCTATGTAAACGTAACATCTGCCCTTGCCCGGCACGTCCAGCATGTCCACTTGACCCTCAGGTACAATGTTGTCGTTGGGCAGTCGATCCACGGGGTTCGTCAGTATACCCGTGGGGATCTTCGGCATTTGCCTAGGGCCCAGAAAGTGGTGACCCGTCGCGGTGCTGGGCGCAGTCGGCGAGCTGGCGCGCAAGCTCTGCTGGATCTGATGAATGATCGCTTGTTGCTGTAGCTGATTAGCCTGTGACTGGGCGGAGAGTTGCTGCATCGCATGCAGAGGATCGCCTATTGCTTGTAACAAGCCTCCAGAAGAAGTACCTGCACGAAGAGGTTCGCGTTGTTATTAGAGAAACCGAGTACCATTACGAATCGGCCGCGCCATTTACCTAATGAAATATTTTCTGATCTGAAAGATTGTAACACTTTGTGTTATAAATTATTCTAAAACATCTTCTGTCTTTGTCCGAAAGATATTATTTTTACCCGAGAGAGAATGTTACAATAATAGTTATTATAAAATTTTACAATCGAGGAATAGATCGGCATTCTGCAATACTGGACTATTATTTCATTTTATATTGTGCTGTTTATATTTTAGAAACTGAAATGTGTCATTAAAGATTTGTCATGTTTTTAGCGAAATTTACTATGTTCTTTAACAATATAGACTTTACTGACAGTCTATTTCTGCATTACTAGAAAATAATAAAATTGAGAAGTTAGATAAAAAAAACTATAATATCTTTTGCATGTATGAAGAGTTCGCAGTTGTGATCCAACGTAAATAAAAAAAAAAAAAATTATTGCGAACTATTTCACGAAGCGAAAATGCAATATTTTTATATGATAAAATTTTGATAATTAATATTATAATTAAATTCTTTTTAAAAATTGAAAAAAGTCATATAAAGAAAATAATATATATTTTCTCCATGTATAAATTGAAAAGTTCGATGCAATTGTGGCACAAGGCAAATAAAACATAATATATTATTGCAAATTATTTCACAAAGCGAAGAGAATTCAATATTCCTCATACAATAAAATCTTGGTAATTAATTTTATAATCAAATTCTTTTTAAAAAATTAAAAGGAAATTATATGAAAAGAAAAAAAACTATTATATATTACAATTTATATATATAACTATAGGACTAAGAACTTCCTCTATATATAACTATAATTTGTACGATAAAATCTTGGATAATTAATAATATAATAAAATTATTCCTAAGAGAAAGATCAGCTGAGAAAGTAGATCATATCAATATTGCGTCAAGCGTTTCGCAGAGAGTGACACCGACCTGTGCTTACGCCCGACGTCCCGAAAGCGTTGGTCCCGACGGTAGAGTAAGTCGATCCGCTCGTGGCGAAGGTGCTTTGACCACTGGAAAAAGGAAGAACAGACTGGGGTACGCTCGTGAGGCCGAGGGTAGAATGATAGGACGTGGAGTACAGCGGCAGCGAGGACAGCGTGGTTTGCGTGATATTCGTCTGCGGCACGGTGTAATTGTGATGCGGCAATTGGGTGTTGTAGCTGGTCGCCCCCGTGCTGTAAGTCCCGTTTGGATGCGGCGCCATAGATAAACTCGGATATGTCATTGCCTGCGCACAACGCAAATCGTCGTGGTTAAGCCAGCGTTAAGCCAAGGTTAATTATAGAACTAAGAACTTTCTCTATATATAACTATAATTTGTACGATAAAATCTTGGATAATTAATATTATAATAAAATTATTCCCAAGAGAAAGATCAGCTGAGAAAGTAGATCATATCAATAATGCATCAAGCGTTTCGCAGAGAGTGACACCGACCTGAGCTTACGCCCGACACTTGTAACTACAGTGGCGTAGCCAGGGGGGCTGCAGCCCCCCCCCCCAAATTAATTTACGCTAAGTGTGAGAAAAATTTTTTTGAATGACCTCTTTTTTTTGCTCAAAAATAAAAAGTACAGTTCCCTGAAACTTTTTTCTAACTACGCCACTGATTGACTATCTCATGCACGAGTCGATTTTAGACAGATGTTTTACAAATTAATACAAATAAGAAAGCGATACGCTTTTCACGATTGTTATATTTATCAAAAGCAAAAGAGAAATCGATTAAAATCTCCAAGTAACTTTGGCTCGTTGTTCCTTTTCCTTCAAGCGTAAAAGATAATTACAAGTAAATAAAATCGAAAGCGACGCGTGTTTCGCAACTGCTACATCTAGAAGATTTTCCAACTTAAAAAGTTTTTAAAAGTTTTTAAGAAGTTTTTTACTGCGCGAAAAGAGCAATAATCGACCATCGGATGTAGTAGCTGTAAAACACGCGCTACTTCCGACTTCATTTATTTACAATTATTTTTTTCTACACACGGAAATAATATATATTATAGTTTTTATTTAAATAAATTCTTCTCACTATGTTTCTAGTATTTACTCTATTTTTCAGTTTTAAAAAAAATTTTAGTTAGAAAAACATAAGAAACTACAAAATTTCTGTATTGCGAAAATAATCAGAGATGATTTTTTTTATAAATAAATAAAAGAATCTTATATAAATTACATTTTGTCTATGAAAATTTCATGATTTTTTATGTTAATACATTTTCAAAAGTGACGGACTTTAGTCCCTTTTAGAAAATATAACTACATCTTTATCATTATTTTTATCATTTGGATATATTTATCATCTCAGAGAAAATAAATCATGGCAATATATACAAAACTAGGCTGATAATAATAAAAGAAAGAAAGTAGTGATATAGGCGGAGGGTGATGTTTACATAGAACGCAGTTTATACGGTCGCGGTCAAAGTGTATGAGTTTGTTTTGAACTTTATTCCAATAGGTTCGTAGTACGGGACTTATATTCCTTTTGTGTGCAATGCCGTACTTTGCATTCCTTCGTTTTTACGCGGTGCAGGACCAGTGGACTACAACCCTTCTGCTCCAAGAAGTTATGTTTGCATGTATCTGCTCCGTGCAAGTTATGTTACTCGCAGATGGAGAATCCGGCGGAAAGTCAATTTCCCAAGATAGGTGACTACATACCTTCTCGACGACTCAGTTTGCTTTCGCATGAGGAATAAGAGCAATCGATAGCAATAATAAAAGCTCCATTGCTCACCTGTTGACTGCCGTTCAACTGATAATTCTGGGCGGTCTGGGCAGGCTGTGTGTAATGGGGTAACACGCTCTGGCTGGCCGATGTCAGGTACGTAGTCGAGGCCGGATGCTGTTGTTGCTGCTGCTGCTGCGGCTGTTGCTGCTGCTTCTGTTGCTGCAACGGCTGCTGATACGTTTGCGTATGCGGATAACTCTCCTGATACTGATTGCTTGTGAAGTGAGTGTGCGTTTGTTGCTTCTGAGACGGTAGGGTGTTCTGGGAGTGGGAGCTCGACAGTTCGTGCTGCGACTGTTGCTGGTACTGTTGGATCTTCTGCTGGAAAGCGGGTTGCGACTGGCTGCTGGAGAGTGACGGCGCCGGCGGTATCGGCTCGCTGTAATGATACGGCGGCCCGTTCGGCGTCAACGGGGGGCACCCGGGCATCATCGGCGTCAACGGCATCGGTGAGCCTGCGTACTGTTCGAACGGGTTCTCATTAGCGAGGGCGATACTCGCAGGAGCATCGAATTATCTTCGATTCATCTCTGTCTGTCTTTCCCCGACCGGGACGATCAGACACACAGGACTACGTACGTGGCCCATCTGGCTAGAAATTCCGAGATTAAGGGCATGCGGATGAGGTGGGTGTTGATGTTGGCCGAGATTGGGAAGATTCTCCGAGCTGGACCGAAGGATACCTTGCGTGGCCGAGGGTTGCTGCGTGGTTATCGCGCTCCGTGTGTGGTCCAGTTCGTGTAACATTCTACCGGAACTATATTCATTTTACTTAAACAGTATCGTCGGTGCATCTTGCGGTTCATGTGCAACCCGCGCAACGCCGGATCGTGTAGATTAACGTATCATCAAACGTGAATATGTGCACGCACGCGGGGAAAATATCGTAGCTTTTCTCATAGAAATCCTCGCAAATTCTGTTATAGTTTCTGCTGGTGCAGGAGTAGACTGTCAGCAGGATTTATCTTGCTAAGGAACATGATAAATTTTGCTGAGAAACATACAGTACATTTTCGCGCGCGTTTAACATACGTATATAAATCCTAACTTCATATAAATTCCTTTCAATTTCAGCATGTTTTATAGTGGCGCACGAATAGACTGTCAGTAGAATTTACCTTGCTGAAAATAAATATCGCTATATCGCATAATAAATGTCGCTAAGACATTATAATTTCTAATAAGAAATTTGATGTAAATTTTTTTAAATATATGTAAATTTTAAATACATATAAAATAAATTTATATAAATTCATATATAAGTTCCTTTTAATTTTAATAGATTTTCTATAATAGAGTATAGACAGACTGCTAGTAAAATTTATCTTGCTAACATAGTGCATTTTTTAAACATACATATGTACATTCTAAGTTCATATAAATTTATATATTCATGTAAATTCATATGAATTTTTTTCGATTTTATCATAATTTTTATTGCAGGGTAAGAATAGACTCGACAGAGTTTACTTTGCCGAGAAACATAATAAATGTTGCTAAAAAACATTGTCAATTTTGTCAAAGATATGTAAATGTTAAATACATATAAATTTATACAAATTTTTTATATTTATATAATTTTTTTATATAAATTTTTCTCAATTTAATGCCAGAATAGACTATCAGAGTTTATCTCGTTAAGGAACATAGTAAATTTTTTAAAATATGTAAAAATAAATACATATAAAAATTATAAATTTATTTAAATCTTTCTCAATTTTCTTATTAAGAAATAATGGAGTAAACCTTGCAATAATAGCCTCTGGTTCTTATAAAATGTAAATAGCATACGTGGAACGGTGGATGACAAATCAAGATAGATTGTCTATATGCTTCTCGGTTACAAGATGACATGGCAGTATTTAGTACAAAATTCTCCCCGCGTGCACGATAGGACTTCGGCGACAGAGTCGAACTCCTCGCGTTTCAGTGCATTTTAACGACACGCCTGCGTACCTATTATCCTGTTCAATTTTGGCGATAATCCGATCGATCTCGGTGCCGGCCGGCGGCCAAGTGGACGCCGGCACGCTTGTGGACGTGACGTGCCCCACGACCGGCCCTCTGCTGCGCGCACGTCTCAGGCTGGTCAGCTCCAGGGACAGCTCCTCGTGCTTCACCATCTGCAGCTCGGTCTTCTTCTCGAGCTCCCGGATCTTCGACTGCAACGCCTCGACCGACTCCGGGCCCTGATAGCGTCCTGCTATCTTCTCCCGCAGCTGGTTCTGTGCTTCCGCATGCTGCCTTTCCAGATCCGCCCGCCGGGCTTCCGTCTCCCGCATTTGCTGGACGAATCGGACGAATAATTATTAGGAAGCTGCTCGAATTCGCCGACATTCAAGCGTGACAGAAATCCTACTTAACGTGACGCGACGCGACAATGAGTAGATCGTTTGTTAACTATGTCAGTTAATATACTGAGAGAAGAGAATATCTAAGAAATAAATAATGTTTATTATTTATTTAGTGGCTATTAATAACGTATTTACTGATATACATATTTTTATAATGAGGAAACATTTTTTTTCAAACAAACAATTATACATTTTCCTAAGATCGTCACTTTTCGTGAATGAAATTGTTTATTCTGTTCAAACAGAAGAATTTAGATTTAAATAAACACGTTATTATTTACAGCCACCGAATAAATATATTTTATCTTTTAGATACGCTTAAAAAAAATTTATCTGTGAGATATAAAGTTTATTCACGGAAATATTCATTTGTGCTTTCGTGCAAAACGACCGTGAAGTCTCTACACTGTGAGAGAAAAAGTACACCGTGAAAGATATACTTGAGAATTTATTCGCAGGATATAAAGATTCGCAGAAATAAACTTTATATCCCACAAATATATTTTCCAGTATTTCTGTCTCGTGTCTCTGCATATTTCTTCTCTTACTGTAGAGAGATTTCATGGTCGTTTTGCAGAACTTCGTCTCGAGGTGAGTGCGGTTCAATTTTGCACAACTCAACACGTGTCGTTTGCATGCGCGATGGATTCATAAAACATCGAGGCAATCTCGTATTTGTTACCCAACGAAGGAAGACGATGGATGAAGTAAAACAAAAAAAAAAAAATGGAAAGAGAAAGGGAGAAGAATGAAGAATGAAGATTTCGGTTCGATTTTTGCGGTCACGAATCTCCGCCCTTAATAACCCGGAGCGACGTTCTAGTTGGGTACGCGATTCGCGACAGGAATGTCACGTTTGTAATGAAAAGGGAGGCTTTTGTGCTCTCATTGCCCGGAGCTGTGCGCAACTCGACTCCCGCGGTACGTAATCCGGCGAAAAGTCTCTCGCGAAAATGATATCGAGAAATTAGAAATGATATAATATCGATAGAGCCGTCAATCCCCGTGCGACATCGCCGACTTAATGACTTCTTCCCAATTAGCCGCGGCAATTACGGTCTCGCGCGTACGCGAGCCGTTCTATAATCTGCGGAATTGCTTACCACTTGGCGAAATTAATAGCCTAATTATCTAGATTGCGACGTAAACTTCTGTCGCGGGTCAGTATTAATTTCCTGCGTACAGATTCCGGGGCGCTTTAACGCGAGGCTGCGCTAGTAGGAGACATAAATTTCAGTCGCTAACAAAGTTTAAGTGGTTTATTTTACGCCGGTGAGAGGCTACGAATTAAAGTTTCCCCGAGCGAGCAATCGCGGCCGGAACGCATTAATAAAAACTTTTGTTTTTCATATTATGCCAGAGAGAGAGAGAGAGAGAGAGAGAGAGAGAGAGAGAGAGAGAGAGAGAGAGA